TTCCCTCTTTTTCCCTGGGTCCCCATCCTGGGGCTAATCCTGCAGTGTCTTGATTGAGTCTCATCTGCCTGGGTTTTCTGTATGTGCCCTAAGAATGGTCACACTTTTGAAAAGTATTCTCCCTCCCCCCAGAAAAAAATAAAGCAGCAGGTTCAGAGTGTGCCGTAGGGACACAGACCACAGTCAGGAAACTGCCTTCTATTTCTAATTCTCATACAGGCCCTTAACACGAGCCAAAGCTTCTGCAAAACCCTTTTTCCCATGTTCACTAGTACATGGTATGCATGAACATGCAGCATCTGCTCAAATACAATAGGATGTATAAAAGGATTTTCCAAACTTGGAAATCTGCAAATTTGCTTGCATGCATGCTTAATGCACCATTATCATTCCAGTTAACTTAAATATTGGTACAGGAATTCTTTTATAGTTAAAAATGATGTTCCTTAATGGTGGGCATTCAATAAGAAGTCAGTTTTAAATGAATATCAATATGAGTTTGCCCAGAAAAACTATGAGCAAAGTCATCTCCAAAATCAACACATAACAAAGCATGGGCTTTGAAGGTATCACTCCCAGGTGCAAGTCCCCCTCTGAGCAGTGACAGTTCTTTGATTTGGGCTAGTTAGAATGGTGTTTCCCTGGTGCTTCATTTGTGTATCTTCCAAAAACAATTCACTGAGTCATACACAGAGTTGGAGGTCTACTTTAAGGTGCAGTTGTTTAGAACATGGTCACAATTCTTGGATAGGCATCCACAGCTGGGACCCCGGGCCTAGCTGGCCCTGGGGAAAGTCTCCAATTCAGTTGCACAGGTAGGGAATCTCTTCCCTATTGCTGCACTGCTGATGACCATAACCTGAACTGCAAAGCCCATGCTTCATTAGCACAGTCCATGAGTCCAGCTATGGCATGGCTGGGTTTTCTGCTCAGAAGGGCTGATTTCTTCCTCCTGGGTAGAGAAAGAGGTCTTTGTGGTTGTGGGAACTGAAGTTCCCACTTCCTTGCTGACTTTCCACTAATTCTCAGCTCTGGAGTTTATGTGCAACCTGGCCATATAATCTCATTGATGCCATTAAATATGCATTGAATACTCAGCTTCAAACTCTGATTTCCTCACTGGGGACAACACAGAGAAACTCCCAGCTTTAATTAAAAGGATCTTGTGAAAAATCAAATCCATATGGATAATCTCTGTACTGTAAAGTCAACTAATATAAGCTAATCACAGGAGTAAGAATGTTTGTTCTTTCTCCATGGCCTTACTCTTCTACATTCTGGTTTGAATATTTGTGTTTCCCTATTAGAATTAAGTTCGATGAGGGTGGAGACTCTGTCCTTTATGGGTACATCCCCAGTACCTTCGACACAGTGGTGAATGAATGCACTATTAACACTGCTGTGTGTTGGGTAATAAGAGATGGATAAGGCAAGATTTCTCAGATCCTTTCCTTTTGGAGAAATTCAGAACTGGTTGATGGGAGAAGAGGCAGCTGCAGACAGATTTTTGCTGTATCACAATTGTGGAGATATTGCAGGGAAAGCCACAGGCTATGCTGGTAAGGGCCTGGAAAGTCAGCAAAATTGTCCCAAGGCAGCTCCAATGGCGCCTGTCCTGGAGGATCAGGAGAGTTTGACCAGGGAGAGTGGAGAGAGGCCTCTCACACATCCCTTCACTTCCTCTTGTTCCTGTACTTCAGCTGGGCTGGCTGATGACTTTCTTCAATCTCCCTTGGCAACAGATTTACCCAGTCAGTTCCAATGAAAAGCTTGGGATTCTGTATTCCTGAACTAGCTTAGCACCCCTGCTTTCTCAGAACCATGCTGGGGGCCTAGAGAGATAATCTTCATTGCCAGGCTTGGCTCATATGCTATCCTGGGAGAAGAGGACACAAAGTGGGTTCCACTCCTTTCAACCAGTGTTCCAAAAATGGAGATGCTATTTTCACATGGGAAATAAATGTCTGGCTGGCCAAACAACACATTTATCTCTTTTCCCACTTGGATTATTTCACATTCTTTGTACTGTTTCTTGTTTACCTGTGACCAGGAAATGCTATCCAAACTACAGGCCAGTGGCTTACTATACGCCCTAGGCTAGGAGTTATCACTGGGTGCCAGGAGCAGCTGGGGAGGAGGCAGGCATCCCTGCTTCGGTGCTGCATGAGTTCTTGGCACCCCAGCATGGAACATGGCTCTGCACAGCCATTAGCACCAACAGCATTAATAGCTCAGATTTCGGGTTCAGACTGAGTTAAACAGGCATCCCATTGCCAACACTGACAAGACAGCCAGTTTAGAACGGGCTATTAACCTCTGATGTGCTTGCAGGAAAGAAACAGCTTGTTTGCCCTGATAAAAAGGCTTGGTCTTGCTTCTCAAATATTCCTGTCCTTTAACTGTATAGTGACCATTGCACCTTGACCAGGATTTGAGGGGAGGGGGCTAAAATGTGGCTTGTGTTTTGGAACATAAAACAAGCTGTGTTTTCAGATGTTTGGGGACACTACAGAAGATCTGTGTCTGCTTTAATAACGAACTGTACTGCAACCAATCAAAAAGGGAGCTGCACTCAAGATCTGCAATAATAAAAGACTGGAATCACCCATTCTTTGGGAAATTCCATCTTGAGACTTAGCTGGGGCTGCTATAACAGGGTGGCTTAACAATACATATTTCTCACTACTCTGTAGGTAATAGTTTAAGGTCCAGGAGCCAAAATGGTTGGGCCCTCTTCCTGTTTACAGATGGTGGTTTTCTTATTTGGGGTCCTTAAGTGGTAGAAGGCAGAGAAAAGGGAAAGCAAATTCTTTCCTATTTTTATACAAGGTCACTAATCCAACTCATGAAGGCTCTATTTCCCCCACAAAGCACCTCCTCCTAATACAACCACATTAGACACTATAATGAATAGGGAACTTCTCAGGGAACATAAGCATTCAGTTCACAGCACTTGAATAAAGTCTAGGTTTCCAATGGGGGTGGCAGGAACTAAAGTACTTGAATTATTATTATTGTCTGCCCCTAGTCTGCATAAGCAAGAAGCTGGAATCAAGAATTAGAGTTAGACATGGAACTCAGGAACACTGACACAAGATACAGGAGACCTAATTAACATACTACCTTAAACACCTGCCTCTCTTTGTACTTGAATTTTTTCCTATTTGTGCCATTCTTTTATTGCTAATCTCTTATATATATATTAAAAATATAGATGTATATATAATTCAAACTATGTTACCAGTTTATAAGAACCCATAGGGAAGAAGCTATAAATCAACAGCATCCAGTCAACAATTACCCTGGGGTACACATATTCATGTGACCACACACACACACAAAATAACCTTTTAACAAAGAACATCTGACTTTTGAAGCATTTTTTGTTCATTAAGATATCAATTCTCATAGTCCAAATGTCCTTGAACTATGTGAACTAATGCAAGAATTCCAGGGGCTGTAAAGAAAATAACCAAACTTCTGGGGAGATTTCCCATTCAAGTTGCTTTTCACTGATAAAAAGTGTTACAAAAATAACACTTAAAATTAATAATTTTGATACAAGAGATATCTATGAATGTCTATATGCTTTTTGTTTTTAAAGCCCCTTCTAGGGTTTATTTTGCTGTATCAGCTGTTCATTAACTCAGAAAGTGCAAAATAAATTGAGATGAAAGGCCCTGCAAGGTGAGTTGGGGTAAAAAAAATTATTTACTCACCATATTACAACCTATGTGTGATACATAAATGATGGTAACAGCAATATTATACAAATATGACTTTTAAAAAAGATGATTTCTCTTTTAACAGCCAGAAACCAGGGCCATCTGACCAGCATATACTGCTAGCTAAAGGGAGTCCAGGATGCCGATGTGGTGGTACAGATCCATTAAGTTGAGCACTCACTGAAATTGCTTTCTCAGAATGGTGAATGATGGATCACGAGCCAAACTTCACTCATGTCAGAATGAAACTGTTTACAGGTAAATCTGGCCCAAGGCCATCGCCACCTCAATGTGATGGCTGGACCAGTTGAAATGGTTACAGGAGGTAGGGAAGTGACTTAATTCTTTGCAGAGGTCTTCCAGGTGTGTCTTACATTGATTCACACTTTCATTTGACAGCAAGGAGAAACTGGGTTTTTTTTATGCACGACCATGGTTGGAAATCTGCCTAAACCAGTAGCTGTCAACCCTAGAGGACTTTAGGAACTTCCTGGAGGTCAAGCGGTGGAGGAAGCCCAACTGTGCATGACTGGCCCAAGACCAACTTCTGCTATTAAAGTGGAGGCAGGTGGTTGATTTGGACAGGATCTCCTGCATTAGCCAGGGCAGACCCGAGAGAACCAGAACAGACTCTCATGCCCAGTGCCAAATGCTCACAACGAACTCTGAGAAGGGCCAGCTTTCCTACAAAGCAGATTCCGTCAACCTGCATCCGCACCCAGAGGACATCCCCGGTATCAACCTACAAAGGAAAGTGACTTCAAACGAGTTTGTCCAGCCCTTTACTGCCCACAAAGCCACCTGCTCGCAGACCTTAGGTATGCTGTTTAATGAGACGCTCTCCGACTTTAGAGCACAAATAAAGCCCGTGAATTCTGCAAGGTAGAGTCATCATGATTTTTGACTGTTGAATGCAAATTGAAAATTCCCTGGGAAGGGCTACTCGGCAGCCGAGTTTGAATCTTTATCAAAGCCTACCCCTCTGAAGGAAGCTTCCAAGCCTCGAACCTTACACCAAAGGACAACCTCTCTCAGCCTGAGGTAATTTCAACCCATCATGTTCGACGGACACAGACCTCCGGGGAACCGTGCTCATCTGGAGCTGCAATGGCTTAGGAACTGACGTCCTCACGCACCAAACATGACCCGGGACCAAACAGGACCTTCTAAGGCGCCCGATTACTAACCTCCAACCTTCCAGAAATGCCTGAGGCGCGCGCACAGGCAAAGGCTGACCTAAGAGCGCAAGCGCGAGTGCGCGGTCGCGCGGTGGAGGCGCATGCGCGGGCGCGGGGGGCGGTGCTTCCGGCCGGTGGAGACTGAGCTTGCGACACCGGTGGGACGGAACCCGAGTGTTGACCCCCGACCCCGACCCCAAACTAAGCCCTAATTCGGGACGTATTTTTGACTGACCCCGGCCCCCGACTACCCGCATGGCCCGCCACGTGTTCCTGACGGGACCCCCAGGTAAACGCCGTTGGGGTCTCCGCCTTTGGGAGGACGCGCGTGGAGGGGGCCTTCTGCAATGGACTCTCCAGAGAGGGCCCGCCTCTCAAGTTGCCGATTTAAATGACTGGCAGGAGAGTCTGGAGCCTACATGCCGCTTCCCTGAAAAAATGCCTGGCCCTCCTGTATCAAAATTTTATGACGCTTTATCAAAACTGTAGCACACTGTTGAAAGACTAAAATCTTAATCCTGTCCTGTGGCCCGCCTATGTTTTCTTTCCCCACATTCTTTCATTTTGTTTTATACGATTTATTTATTTGAAGGCCAGAGTATGAGGTAGAAAGAGATCCATCTTCCATCTGCCCTGTGCTCACTGTAGCCAGAGCTAACTCAGGCTGAAACCAGGAATCCAGAGAATTGCTGCAGTGTCTCCCATGGGTGGTCAGGACCTAAGTGCTGGAGCTGGCAACTGCTGCCTTGGCCTCCCAGGATTTGTAAGAAGGAAGCTGGATTGAAGCAGAGGAGCCAGAACTTGCACCAGGCTCTTCTATATGAGATGTGCATGGAACCTAAGCTGCTTAACTGCTATGCCATAATGCCTGCCCACTCCTCTGCTTTCCAGTGCAGTTGTAATTTTCATTAGCATCGCAGGCAATGGTTATAGTATAATGACTGTGTAAAAGCTAATGATAACAGCCTTGTAGTAATGTATAATTTCTTTTCCTTTTGTGTACAGCATTCTCCCATTTGCAGTTATTAGCTGGGATTTGTAGTTCTTGATTTGTGTCACCAACTCTATCCCAAACTCTACTTTTGTTTAAAGTAGAACATGTTTAGGCCATCAGCAAGGTGATACACCTTCTCAGGTGGTCACTTGTGTGTATATGCCATAAAGGGCTGGTGGCATTTCACTTTTTCCTCAGTATCCAGCTGGCAGTACCTGTTACTGATCTTGGAGGCCCGTGTTTGGTCTCAGGAGTTCATACCTGGAGCAGTCAGAGTTAAAGTGAAATTAATATTCATAAAAATCCATTTGCAGCCTGCTTCTCTGCCCACTATGCTTGTTCTCTTGGGGTGGTAGGTATTGTGTGTGCACTGGTTAGGAAGTGTTTCCTGATGGGCTTTTTCTCTCTCTTGCTTTTTTTAGGGGTTGGGAAAACAACACTGATCCAGAAAACCTGTGAGGTGTTAAGGTCCTCCGGTGTGCCTGTGGATGGATTTTACACAGAAGAAGTCAGACAGGGAGGGAGAAGAATAGGATTTGATGTCGTCACATTGTCCGGCTCCCGGGGTCCCTTATCTAGAGTTGGGTACTGATTACTCATTGTTGTAGAGTTTTGTGCTCAGCTTTCCTTCCCTCTGGGTTTTCGGAGCTCTTTTTTTCTTATTGAGCAGGAGTTAAGTTCACCAAAATAAATACCTTGTGGAATGCTGTACTCTGCCTTGCTTCAGGTTGTTTCTCCCTGGGTACCGGGTAGAGCCAGGTGATCTCATCTATCTTAAGAATTTTGGGCCTTTAGAGATTTCTAAGAGAACAAAAACAAAATGAAACTGTCGTGAAAAACATGTATAAAAAAGTTACATTTCACTGCACTGAGTATAAGCTCTTCACATTTCTAATTTTTGGCCCTGTTTCTTAGTGTTATTGTTCTTCTTTTTTTTTTTTTTTAATTTTTGGTTGATTGGCAAAGAAATAGGTAGATAGATAAATATTCTGTCCTCTTCTTCACTCCCCAAATGCCCACAGTAGTTGGGGCTGGTCCTGGGCCATGCTAAAGCCAGGAGCTTGTCTGCAGTCCAAAGTGCTTGAGCCATGACCTGTCTCTCAGGCAGAACATTAGCAGGGAGCTGGACCAAGGAACAGAGCTGGACTCAAACCCAAGCATTCCTAAATGGGATGTGAGTGTTTGAAACAGCATTTTAATCATTGTGCCTAATTTCTGCCCCATTAGTGCCATTTTTTTTAAAGGCTGGGTGTTTGCTGCGTAGAGCTGTGGGAATGGTTCCACCATCATACTACAAGGCCCACTATTGGACATTTACTGGTAGCTCCATTTTCAGGACAGAAAAATTTAAGTCAGATCAGCTTTACATACTTTGCTTTTAGTATAGGTGATTATTAAGGATGACGTAGCATAGACACCAGGCCAGAGGCTCAGCAGAACAGCTAACACCAATCATCAATGTAGGAGTCTTCCATGAAGAATACAGTGTTTTCTCCTTCAGGTTGGAGCCTCCACCTGGAAAACGTGAATGTCGAGTTGGCCAGTATGTGGTTGACCTGACTTCTTTTGAGCAGTTGGCGCTTCCTGTCTTGAAAAGTGTGAGTACATGGTTTTTGTTTTTTGATCTCATCTGCAGTTAGTGCACTGTGGGCGTTACTAGTCCTGGAAACAGAATGGCTATTAAACGGAGGTCAGTTTTGCATTTTATAGTGTTAAGGTCTTCACATAATTACAGAATGCAGTCTTTTATCATTTTGAGCTGCTAGTAAATTCCTTGTCTCATTCAGTACATATAAATACTTTATTTAGGGAAGACTAATGCCCAACTAACATTGTTCCCAAAGACAAGTTTTTCCTGTTTCTTCTCATGTTTATTTATTAACCTATTTACAAAGCACAGCAAACATTTAATAAGAGAAAATGTCATTATTTGAACATATTGAAGAGTAGCTAATGAATTCTTATCAGGTACTCTGAGCATTTAACATACTATATTCCTATAGCTTAAAAAAAACTACTAGTCTTATTGATGTTTTATGAGTTTTTCTTTTCCTCCTTGAAAGTCTCTTATTTCATTTTTTGTGCCTAACTGCATTGGCTAGACCTCTGGTGGATCGTTAGCTACAAGTCGTGAGAATGGACATCCTTTTCTTAGGGAGGAGGCACTTAGCTGTTCACTGTGAAGTCTGATGTTAGCTCTGAATTCTGTTTAAATGGCCTTTCTCAGATTTCTTCTAGTTTGTTGAGTGTTTTACAGAGGAGTTTTCGATGTTGCCAAATCCTATCAAGGTGATCATATGATTTTCATCCTTTGCTATATTAAATAGTTGTATTCTATTAATTAATTTTTGAAAATTAAACCAACTTTGTGTTTGGGGATAAATCCCTATTGGTCATGGTGTGTAAACTTTTTTGTATGAGATAGTACTCACATTGCTAGTATTTTGTTGAAAATTTCTACTTCTATATTCATAGTAATATGATTTGTAACTTTGTTTTCTTGATATGGCATGGTCTAATTTTGATGTCAGGTTAATGCTGGTTTAATAGAATGAGTTAGGAAGTGTTTTCTCCACTTCTAATATTTGAGAGAGTTTGTGAATGTATTCTCTTTTTGAATAATTAATAAGTAGAATTCACCAGTGGAGCCACATGGGCTTATGCTTTTTTTCATCAGAAACCTTTCAATTATTATTCAGTCCTTTACTATTTTTAAAGCTTTATTTATCTATATATTTGTTGAAAGTTTTTTAAAATTTTATTTGTGATGATGTTTACATAATTGATTAGGTTGGGAAGGGTCAAGGGTTAGGAAAAAGTGAGTGAGGCCATTGTTTTCACATTTTCTTTTTTCTTCTTCCTGTGTCTCAGGTGAAGGATTAAGGGAGAGAAGCGTAAAAGCTGCACCCAGGCTCCCAACTGCCTCAGCACCCAGAGACAGGGAATGCTACCCTATGTCATCCCAGGGTCCCCAGTGCAGAGCATGTTCCAACGGTTCTTCTTAGGTGGTTTTGATAATTCTCCCAAGATAAGGACCAACTTTTTGGTTTGTTTTCATTGATTATGTATTTTGTTTTTGTAACACTTACCTATAATAGTTATTCAGACTTAGATGCATGGTCAGAAACAAAGACATGTTTTGTCTCAAAACTGTTAGTCTAGTGAGAAATATAGACATTAAACAAGTGAACTGACATTTGTCATTGGTTTTGTGAGGGAAAAGAGCAGGATGCTGTGAGAGAAAGAGGAGGAACCATTTTTGGGGCCTGGTGACGAGGAATGCTCTAGGCAGGTGATATTTAAATTGCAAGGGAAAATAGCAGGTCTTTATTACTTAAGAGAAAGAAAGAGCAGGCAGTGAGTGTGTGTGTGTAGTGATGATAGTGGTGGTATTGGTGGGATCTGGGGAGAATATTGTAGATGGCAGGAATAGATGCACTGATACTTTAGATTTCTGGGACAGGATCTAGGACAGGAGAGGATAAAAAGGTACAGTTGGTGAGGTGGGTAGGGGCATATCATACAGGGCTTGTAAACTACATTAAGGAATATGGGTTTCATTTGGTATAGACTTACTACTTTGACATACTTTTATAAAGCTTGAATGTTACAGACATTCAAGAATTCATTTTAAGAATGAATTACAGTGCTTTCGGAAATTTCCATTCACATCAGGTGTAGTCTATTGGCCTGGTTTATTATTCCTAGTGGCCTCTCAACCTCATCTTACCATCCTGCAGTCTCACCAGCTCAAACACATTACCCACCTGTGCCAGGGCCATACAAACCTTAGACCCTTAGCTCTTCCATTTTCTTTGGTTCATATACCCTCTTCCTAAATTCTTCGTCTCTGCTCTGTTGCATTCAGAGCTCAGCTCAAAATGTGCCACAGAGGGCTTTAGTAGTTGTTCAAACCACTGGAGATTTTAGATATTGTCTGCTCGGGGGCAGCCTATAATTTCTGAAGACTGACAGTTACACTGCAGTCTGATTTTGTGAAGCCTTGTGCTCATCAGAGCCCACAGTGTGCTGCTTCATCTCCTCCCTGCCTTTATATTCCCACTTCCTTTTCTAATTCCTCCTCTTGGAATGTTCTCTCAGACACTGCACTAGGCACAGTTGTGGTCACACTTTTTCATGGGAATAGTCAGAGAATTGGGTATTTTTCTAGTTCTTTTCCCATCAAATGCATAACTATACTTAATGCTTAAATGACAAGTGAATTACTTCAAATGAAATTCTAAGTTAAGACTCTGGCTTTGGGCATTGGATCAATACCAAAAAAAAAAAAAATCAATTTTTGCATGCCTTCCCCAGCACACAATCCTGAAAGAAGAGTGTGCACACGCATGGCTAATACCTAGCTGCAGGAGTATTTAAGGAATCATATGCTGACCGCATCAGGAGCTTGCCTCTGTTTTTATAATGAGAAAGTAAAGGAAAGGAGACCCTTTCCTATCTTTTATACTCTGATTACAAATATAAACATTCAAGTTTCTGAGGAGTAAGTTTCTAGTAGCAGTTTCTTTCTCAGTCAGGGTCTTAGATTTCTGTGGAGCAGAACATTTTCTTCCATTCCACATATTTTATTGAGATAAGACATGAGCAGGAATCCGTGAGTTGCCTTTGGAATAATAATAATTAGCTACACAAAAAAGGAAGTATATAAAAAAGCAATTTTTTAAATTGACAGTCAAAATGACTGAAGTAAACAGGCTTTAGAAACCAGTTATAAAGCAGGAAAAACTCAGTGTAGTTCAGAGATGTTCAGTGTAGTTCATAGTGCTTTCATAGACCTATGAAAATACAGACTTTTATTACAAGTTAAGAAATACCTATCATGTGAAAGAAAAGAAATTTCACTATTGCTAAAAGATGGTTTGAAGTATTGTATTTTTCCCTCCCTTTTTCAAATATTATGAAAAGCATAATTCCCTGATTGGGCCAGCAGGGCTCTATCTGTTTACAGGTTAGGGAATAAAAAAGTGGGAGCTGCAAAGCAGGTTGAGCGGAAAGAAAACCCAGGAAAAGGCTCTGGCACAGCCCGGGTCCCATGTTACTGTGGGGGTTGTTATTACAGTTCCTAAGGCAGGAGTGAGACTGAGCCAGGCCATCGCAGATACCTGTGGGAAATAAGGAAAAATAGAGCATACTTGGTCTAAAAAAACCATTTGTACAGTCAGCTGTTTGATGTTTTTCATGCCATGACCATAGTGACATCTTTCGTTATTTAACAAAAGGTTGACTTCTTGAGTATTAGAGTTCTACATACTCAGGAAAAAATTTGTAAAGAATATGATATAAGTAATTTGTGGTTTTATCACCAACTTAGCCACTGTTAATGTCTTGTGTTCTGCCCTTTTTTCTACACCTGATTTATTTATTGGGTCATCTGAATTTGGAGAACATTCTATATGCGGTTTCATAGGTATAGCTTATCCCTTAATACAACCAAGTGACTTGAGAGTGCTTTTGTGACATGGCAGTCTTCAAAATTATGATGTTTTTATGATTGCACAATATTTTACAGTATAATTTTTATCATCTTATGTTCCCAGTGTGAACATTTAGCTTATTTGTCATGCGCTAGTGTGAATGATCTAGCCGGACACCCTTTGTATGTGAGTCTGTTTCTCTAGCTGTGATTATCTTCTTGGGAGGGCTCTAAAAGTGGACAGTTGTAGAAGTGAAGGGGTGTCGTCCAGGGTTTTGCAAGTGCAACTGAGGGCTTCAGTGACCCATGTGACCCAGTGCAGGTGCTGGTCATGCTGTGCTGGTGGCTGTACTGATTTTCATTACAAAACTGTCCTGCTTTGCTTTGATTTCTGTGTTTATGTTCCTAATGAGGCAAAATGTTTTTCAGTTGTTTATTCAGTGTGAATTGTTTCTTCACAATTTTTTTCTTTTGGATTAAAGATTTTTATAAGATAAATAACACTGTGGTATTTGTTGATCCCATTGTTTTCAGTTTATCATCTCTGTGGGAGACTGCCTGTGTTTCACCTGTATGTCTCTCCTTTGTGCTTTTTGAATAATTATTTCTTTATTTGAGAAGGCAGAGGTAGAGCACTATGAGAGAGCTCGCTTCTGTTGGTTCACTCCCTAAAGGCCTGCAGTGACCTCGAGTGTCAGCTGCGTCTTGGCCAAAGCCAGGAACTAGGATCCCAATGAATGTGGATAACAACGGTCTACTTACTGTAACCGCTGTATCTCAAGGCTTGCATTAGCCAGAAGCTGTCATCAGGAGTTAGGAATCGAACCCAGTTACTCTAGTGTGGGATGCAAGTGTTGAGAGAGAGAGAGAGAAATGTTTGAAATGCTAGTTTGCTCCCCAGATGGCTACAATGCCTGGGGTTTGGCCAAACTAAAACTGGGAGATAGGAGTCATCCAGTGTGGGTGCAGGGGACAAAGCATTTTGGCCACCTCACATTACTTTTCCCAGGCCATATGCAGGTAGCTGTATCCAGAAGTAGAGCAGCCAGGATTTGAACCAACATCCATAGGGATGTTTGGGCTGTAGATTGTGGCTTAGTCTGTGGCTTAGTCTGCTATGCCACAATGCTGGGTTTTAGTGTACTTTTTAAAAAGATACTGATG